TGCAGGTTAAGCAGGAGCTGGGTGACGAGAAGAGGCGAGTGGGTCGGTTATTTATTTATGTTTGTTATTGCTTCCGTTTGAATAAATAAGGCTTCATGAACCATTATGATGAGACTTGTTTAAACTATATTCCAGAACTTATGACTTGTGTGTTTTGGAAAATTTATGGATCCCTGATGTTGGGTATTATGGTTTGATTATATATTCGTGTTGATAATTGTGCCTCGTGATGTGTTTGGTTAATGAAAACCATTTGTGAAAACCGGGTAATGAATCCCTGTAGGCCCAGATAAGACTTGGGTTATGAAAATGTTGTTTAGCACCCATTAAATTTCGAAAATGATCTCGAAAATTTTTATACTGATTTTTGGAAAGTCCGGAATTTCTTTAAAATCAAAGTGGGGTGTTAAAACTTTAGTATGAGTTTCTGCGGAGCACAGTGGCTTTAGTACTCACGCTCCCACTTTATAATGTTTTTCAGGTGACAGGGTCGGTCCGGAGGAGTGAGAGGAGCAGGTGGTTGGTGGTCCAGTTAATATGTTCTTGCAGACTTATGATATGTATATTATTTACTATTTTGACTTCCGCTGACGTTTTCAAACTTTCAATCTAGCATGCTAGTTTAAGATTTTGATCCGCACCTTCGGGTAGGATTTTTACAGAATGACGTGATAACAAAGGATAATCCGTTTTTCCAAATAAGTTCAGTAACTAAGTCAACGGATTTTCAGAAAAGTAAGGTAATTTAGTAGCATCCCAAAACATGTTTTCGCAAACCAATACGTATTTCTTAGAAAGGAAATTGCGAAAATCGCACTCTGATTTTAATAAGCTAGTGGGGTGTTACAAATGGTATCAGAGCACGTTTTTGTGTATCTGAATACTTTATTAAGTCAGAAATTTTCAGAAAAGACCCGACCACGCTACGCTCACGCCTCGCTGACTACAGGTAAGTGCTGAGTTATAGTTTATATCTAAACGAATGCTTTAGTCTATGCTCAGTAGAGGGTATCAGATATTTAACCCTAGAAACCAGTAAGATGCTCGAGTTAATGATCAAGTATTTTTAAAGTATAAGTCGATTGTCCCAGTTATTTGATATTTCGACTTTAGTTTTCTTGGGTTAATCTTAGCAACTTGTTAAGAGATTTGTGCGCATTAATAAGCAGTAAAAGTATTCTATCATGGTTGCGTCTGATTATGTTTAGATTTTCACTACCCAGATGTCGCCTCGTAGAGAACCAGGTCATCGGGAGCTCCCTCAGGCCACTGTAGTCGCACACTTCCGCGACTACCATCCAGAAAAGTTTCCGGCAAAGGAGATCCTCGTATAGTCGATGAATGGGTTCAGGGACTTGAAATGATTTTCGAGGTCATAGACTGTCCTGATCATTATCGTGTCATATGCGCACAAATCCAGTTGACCGGTGATGCCCGACTCTGGTAGAATGCCCATTGGAGTATGTGTCCCGGCGAGAAAGAAGGTTGTACATGGGACCAATTCAAGGAGTTGATGCGTGGGAAGTACTATCCTTCGTACTACCGAGCAGATATGGAGCGCCAGTTCCTGGCACTCCGACAGGGTGCTCGTTCTGTAGACGAGTACGAAAGAGACTTACCCAACTCGGATCCTTTGTACCTGATCTTGTGAGTACAGCGGAAAAGAGAGCTCTTCGTTTTACTGACGGACTTCTCCCAGCAGTCCGCCACAACATCGTAGGTCACGGCGTCTAGACCTACGCTCGCACAGTCGCCATTGCCCAGGAGATAGATGCCAGTATCCGACGAGAAGCTAATCCGACCTTAGCCCAACCATTTACTCAGCCACCAGCCCAGCCCAACGTTGCCCAATCATCAAAGAACCAGAAAAAGAGGAAGTTCAGAGGAGGCCCAGACGATCGGAGGAATCGCCCCAAACAGACACCAAACTGCCCGACATGCGAAAGCGCCACCGTGGGGAATGCCTTGTAGGCCAGAATATCTGTTTCTTTTGCCGCCAGCCAGGCCATATCAGCCCCAACTGCCTCGAACGACTGCAACAACAACGACAACCACCTCCGCAACCACAACAACAGCAGCAACCTCGACAACAACCACCACGACCCCAGCAACAGCAACGCGGCAGACAACAGGCCCGCGTCTTTTGAAGTTGATTAGAGAGACGCCGACCAGCACCCAGGTACCATGTCTGGGATGATTATTCTTAATGATGTGCCTGTTTATGCCTTATTTGACACTGGAGCAACCCACTCTTTTATATCACGCCGATGTCTCGAAGTTATAAGAGTTCATTCTCTTACCACTGTCGATCCTCTCAAGGTGAGTTTAGCCTCGAGACGAAAGATAGTGACAGATAACAGAGCCACCGATCTCAGCCTTTCCATCGGCGACCGTATTTTGACTTCTGATGCTTATGTTATCGGGATGAGGGACTTTGACCTCATACTCGGAATGGATTGGCTAACACGTTTTCACGCAGATATCCGATGTCATGACTGGGAGATTACTCTTTATCTTCCGGGAGATGATCAAATCACTTATTTTGGCTCCAGGACTCGTACTCTGCCCCATATTATTTCTATGGTGAAAGCCAGGAAGATTCTTCGACGAGGTGATTGCCGGGGTTTGATTATATATTCGTGTTGATAATTGTGCCTTGTGATGTGTTTGGTTAATGAAAACCATTTGTGAAAACCGGGTAATGAATCCCCGTAGGCCCAGATAAGACTTGGGTAATGAACATGTTGTTTAACACCAATCAAATTTCAAAAATGATCTCGAAAATTTTTATACTGATTTTTGGAAAGTCCAGAATTTCTTTAAAATCAAAGTGGGGTGTTACAACTTTAGTATGAGTTTATGTGGAGCACAGTGGCTTTAGTACTCACGCTCCCACTTTATAATGTTTTTCAGGTGACAGGGTCGGTCCGGAGGAGTGAGCGGAGCAGGTGGTTGGTGGTCCAGTAAATATGTTTTTGTAGACTATTTACTGTTTTGACTTCCGCTGACGTTTTCAACTTTCAATCTAGCATGCTAGTTTAAGATTTTGATCCGCACCTTCGGGTAGGATTTTTACAGAATGACGTGATAACAAAGGATAATCCGTTTTTCCAAATAAGTTCAGTAACTAAGTCAACGGATTTTCAGAAAAGTAAGGTAATTTAGTAGCATCCCAAAACATGTTTTCGCAAACCAATACGTATTTCTTAGAAAGGAAATTGCGAAAATCGCACTCTGATTTTAATAAGCTAGTGGGGTGTTACAAATGGTATCAGAGCACGTTTTTGTGTATCTGAATACTTTATTAAGTCAGAAATTTTCAGAAAAGACCCGACCACGCTACGCTCACGCCTCGCTGACTACAGGTAAGTGCTGAGTTATAGTTTATATCTAAACGAATGCTTTAGTCTATGCTCAGTAGAGGGTATCAGATATTTAACCCTAGAAACCAGTAAGATGCTCGAGTTAATGATCAAGTATTTTTAAAGTATAAGTCGATTGTCCCAGTTATTTGATATTTCGACTTTAGTTTTCTTGTGTTAATCTTAGCAACTTGTTAAAAGATTTGTGCGCATTAATAAGCAGTAAAAATATTCTATCATGTTTGCGTCTGATTATGTTGATATTTTAAATACCCAGATGTCGCCTCATAGAGAACGAGGTCATCGGGAGCTCCCTCAGGCCACTGTAGTCGCACACTTCCCCGACTACCATCCAGAAAAATTTTCCGGCCAAGGAGATCCTCGTATAGTCGATGAATGGGTTCAGGGCCTTGAAATGATTTTCGAGGTCATGGACTGTCCTGATTATTATCGTGTCATATGCGCACAAATCCAGTTGACCGGTGATGCCCGACTCTGGTAGAATGCCCATTGGAGTATGCGTCCCGGCGAGAAAGAAGGTTGTACATGGGACCAATTCAAGGAGTTGATCCGCGGGAAGTACTATCCTTCGTACTACCGAGCAGATATGGAGTGCCAGTTCCTGGCACTCCGATAGGGTACTCGTTCTGTCGACGAATACGAAAGAGAGTTTACCCAACTCGGATCCTTTGTACCTGATCTTGTGAGTACTGAGGAAAAGAGAGCTCTTCGTTTTACTGACGGACTTCTCCCAGCAGTCCGCCACAACATCGTAGGTCACGACGTCTAGACCTACGCTCGCACAGTCGCCATTGCCCAGGAGATAGATGCCAGTATCCGACGAGAAGCTAATCCGACCTTAGCCCAACCAGTTACTCAGCCACCAGCCCAGCCCAACGTTGCCCAATCATAAAAGAACCAGAAAAAGAGGAAGTTCAGAGGAGGCCCAGACGATCAGAGGAATCGCCCCAAACAGACACAAAACTGCCCGACATGCGAAAGCGCCACCGTGGGGAATGCCTTGTAGGCCAGAATATCTGTTTCTTTTGCCGCAGCCAGGCCATATCAGCCCCAACTGCCCCGAATGACTGCAACAACAACGACAACCACCTCAGCAACCACAACAACAGCAGCAACCTCGACAACAACCACCACAACCCCAGCAACAGCAACGCGGCAGACAGCAGGCCCGCATCTTTGAAGTTGATCAGAGAGAGGCCAACCAGCACCCAGGTACCATGTCTGGGATGATTATTCTTAATGATGTGCCTGTTTATGCCTTATTTGACACTGGAGCAACCCACTCTTTTATATCACGCCGATGTCTCGAAGTTATAATAGTTCATTCTCTTACCACTGTCGATCCTCTCGAGGTGAGTTTAGCCTCGGGACGAAAGATAGTGACAGATACCAGAGCCACCGATCTCAGCCTTTCCATCGGCGGCCGTATTTTGACTTCTGATGCTTATGTTATCGGGATGAGGGACTTTGACCTCATACTCGGAATGGATTGGCTAACACGTTTTCACGCAGATATCCGATGTCATGACCGGGAGATTACTCTTTATCTTCCGGGAAATGATCAGATCACTTATTTCGGCTCCAGGACTCGTACTCTGCCCCATATTATTTCTATGGCGAAAGCCAGGAATATTCTTCGACGAGGTGATTGCCGGGGTTACCTTGTGAGCCTCGTTGGGGATGAGCCAAAAGCACGGTCACCTCACTGTTGGGACTGTTGAGGATCTCGATATACACAAATCACAGACAAACATTCAACATAAACTTATGCGCAGCGAATCTAAAGGTTTGATGTAGAAAACTTACTGCTTAAAATTTATGTAGATCTGGCTGGCCCGAACAGATGACCGCAAATCAAATCTTCTCGGAATCAAACAAACTTGACCAATCCAGAAAGCTGGCGTCACGGTGAAGTCAACGGCGTTGACTGATCGGAAATCGGAGGTTCCACGCGCTCTCACGCGCGCGTGTGAGTCCCAGCAGCTGCGATCTTCCGGCGGCGCGTGTGGGCGCGTGCGGAGGCGGCTGGCGGCGATCTCGACGGCGATCTCTTCGACTCGTCGTCCTGGTCGTCGTGGTATGGTCACTTGCTGGTTTTGGTCTCCGATTTGGATGGATGATAGATCTGATTAGAATCTCGTATATACTTTAAGATCTTCTACTGTATTCTGAAACAGCTATCTAGATCTTGTATCAGTGGAGCACAAGAAATAGAACAACTCCTTGGAGAGAGAGAGAGGGGGCGGACGCAATTCCCAAGGTTATGGGATTGTCTATTCTCTTCCAAGAGCCTAATGCTGTGTATATAGAGCTACAGTAGGGACCCTAAGGAGAATAGGATAAGGGCTTCTAATATATTAATACTGTGGAGCAACCCCACAATTAATATATTAATAATATTAAAGTCCACCACAATAATATTATTGCACTCCCTTTACCTATCCCAAATTACATTTGAGACTCCTTATTATAATTATCCGATTTACCTCCCCATGTCTCCAACGGTTGATCACAATTCGAAAAATATAATTTACAAAATTACATAAATCGATTCTTAGATCCAGCGAGTGGATGTACATGCCTTCTACTAATAAATTAAACTATCCGGTCAACCCCCGGGCAATTAATACAAGCATTCATCCATAATTCCTCGACAATCCCGAGGCTTTAAAAACAAATTTAAAACCATACAACAAACCATCAATTAAGCACAAGCACATAAAAAGGGTGGCCAAAATAGTGGATTAACTACTTCCTGCAAAACCAAGTTATGCAAATAATCCAATATATATGGCTGCGCTTGAGCACACATAGACAATATAAGCCGTTTAAT